TTCAGAGCACCTTCTCCAGAGCCCTGGACCAGGCACAGCTGTGCCACAGGGGCTGCTCTTCCCTGCCATACTGGCTTCCCAAATCTCTCCTCACAGGCAATGTGTTATTTTGGGACTGGAAACTGGGAAATCCAAAACGTCTCAGGGAGGTTCTGGGACAACCTGGGAAGTATTGCCAGCGGAGTGGTGTGACACAGACAGCACCAACCTGAGTGACTACTGGTGGATTTTTGTGTCTGAACCTAAATTTGGATTCATTTATCAGTAAGCCAGAGAACACAAACAGAAACAAACAACTTTTGTGGCCTTCATTCTCTTTTTCATTCTCTCCATGCCTTCTGAGGTTTAACAGCGACAAACAAGTGCTGGATTCTGCACCCTGGATGTACAGACAGGCTGGAACAAGAATCTGGAGAGATGGCACAGGAAGGGTGCTGGCACTGCCCAGGCTCCTCAGGAGTGGTCCCAGCCCTGAGGCTGTCAGAGCTCCAGGAATGTTTTGGACACCTTTCCAGGGATGCACAGGGGGATTGCTGGGGGGGCTGCAGGGACAGAAGGTGCACTTGGATGATCCTTGTGGATCCCTTCTACCTGAGGACTTTCTATGATTCTAATTACAAACAACTGTTATTACATTAACTACCCCAGATTTTTGCTTAAAATCATCTATTAAACCAGGTCCAAACCTACTTAAAGCATCCTGAACAGCACACGTTCCATAAAACAGGAGTTGCAGTACCCCAAATGCAGCTTCCTAATGCTTTTTCACTTTATTACCTGTGTCATTGTGAATTCGGAGGCTGTCTCCTGTGAAAGAACAGTGGCATTTGCTACAGCCCAGATTTCACAGCACATCTGCCGTGGTGCTGGAAGTGCATGCAGAGGAGACAGGGAAAATGCAGCAGTGTATAGCAAGTAGAAGTTGTACCTAACTAATCAAGTCCACAGGGACAGCATGCAGTGTCACAAGACATATCACTCTACACTTGAATGAGGTTGTCAGCCACGGGGAGGCTGCAAACTGCTGACAGCACTGTGCAGGATGGGGAGGCTTCTAAAGGAGCCACAGAAGCTTTGTAAAGTACGTACCTGCTTCTGTGGGTGACGGGGGAAAAGAAATGAAGTACAAAAGGATATTTGCAAATCTGTCACTCAGTATTCTGTTGCTGGGAATAAACCCTAACTCATTTAATGTGTGCTGCACGAACATAAAAAAGGTTATTTTGCAGGTTTCTCAAAATGCACATATGCATTCTTACGTGTACAGATCAAAATAATATGGAACTTAATAAAATAAGAATGATACAAAGCTATTCGAGAACGTCCAAGGGAGGGACACAGAGCATGAAGCTGTGCCAGGGGATGGTTATGGAGAAGATCAGGGAAAGGTTCTGCTCCCCCAGAGGGTGCTGGCACTGCCCAGGCTCCCCAGGAATGGTCCCAGCCCCGAGGCTGCCGCAGCTCCAGGGGCGTTGGGACACCAGGGATGCACAGGGGGATTGCTGGGGGGCTGCAGGGACAGGGGCTGCACTGGATGATCCTTGGGGATCCCTTCCAACACAGGATATTCTATTCCATGATTCTATGAAAGTACCACGTGACAAAACAAATGCAATATGAATATAGCCAAAAAAAAAAAAGGAAAAGGAAAAATAGAATATTTGTGGCAATTTATGGAGAAATCTCATAAATTCAGAAAGCACTTCTTTACAGACATGTGAACTCAAGTAGAGTTGCTCATTTTGAGCTTGATCTTACCAAACATAATGACAAAATTTGGCATTAAAAGTGCATATTGCTCAAATTCATTCTAAGACGTTCAAGAATGACAGCAAAAGATTTGCTCCGGTCCTTTACTCGAGTCATTGAAGAAAGACAGCACACTTTAAAAGGTGTTCACATTAATTCCTCCTATTAGTCTCACCCCAGATTACTTCATTTATTAGAGCAAATACACAAGGAATGCATTTATTTCTCTATATCCATGCAGAACAGCAATGAACAAGCACCTTTGAAGTGTGTGCAGTTGCATTGCAACACTTAAAACTCTGGAGAAGAGTCTCTATGTCTGGAAGCTGCTTCCCCTGGAAAAACTGAGCAGTTTAATAAAAGATATTACAGACCCCTGTAATTCTGCCTTGCTACATTTCTCTGCACTGCACAAACTTTGGTATGAGACCGTTCTAACCAATGAGGAACTCACAGACTCTGCATTCAGGCTTTTATTTGCAAACTGATCTGTTTGTATCCTATAAAATTAATCTCAGTTTTCAGTTTTATTTTGCTGATATATTCCATCAATTCTGTTAGGACCAAATGCTTCTATTCAGTGTCTTTCCACCCACTAACACCAAAAACCTTATTTAAGTATCTGTTCTATTCTGAGCAGTTCTTAAGAGCTGAATTTTCAATGGGTTTTAAAAGTACATTTGAGACTATACAACAAATTCTGCTTGTGTGTGTATTGTTCCTGTTTGTGCAAGACTTATTTTTGTATTTATTCTCCAAAGCACTTAATTAAATGTTTGTACAAAACATACATGACTATGAAAAACACCAGGTACACTCTACAACAGTGTAGGGACAAAAACTGTAACAGAGATCTACATAATTAGATTTCCTTCTAGAATGTTTTCTTTGAAGCAATTAACCACCAAATAAAAGATTTGTTTGAAGATTATGCTAGAATTTTCAACATGTAAAAAGCACATGGCAAGCAATACTGACTCTGTAACAGGACAAAAGCACATTTATGGGGCAGATATTTGCTATCACTCTCTCCACAATGTTAAACTCTCTGCACTAATTCACTGTATCCTGTTTTACTGAGTGTCCTCCAATCAAAGTCTGACAAAAAAGAATAAAGAAAATCGAGGTAAGTCATAGGGCAGAATAAAATAAAGTCCCAGAACAAAGGAGACACCTCAGGTGTGCAAATGCTTTGGCAGGGGAAAAACTCAAAAGGCTGGAGGAAGAGTGTCCAGGAGGAGGAACCAGGTAAGTGCAAATCCACTACGAGCTCTGAGCAGGAGGTTATTTTTAAATTGCAGTGGAAAAAAAAAACAATGAGGGTGACAGAGGACAAACCATAGCCCAGCTTCACAGAAAAGGAAAGGATTTTGCTTGTGACATTCTGTGCACCCTAAAGTTTTGGGAAGGATTGCCAAGAAGTATAATTGAGGGAGGGAGTCTCTGCTTTCAAGTGAGGAAGGATCAAGAGCAGCCCTGAAAGCTGGGGAGTACCTCTGCTCCCACGGACTGAAAGCACTCTCAGTACTCACAAGCCTTAGGAAAGAAAAATAAGTCAGAAATATGGATGATTTTTCTGGAGAGGGTGAAAAAATAGAGAGAAGAATTCCAAAAATATTCTAAGTCATTTTAATGAATAATCCAAAAATTTCTCCCTATGGGAACAAACTTCGCTTCTTGCTCATTTCCGTCTGTAACATGCAGTGTTTTAATTATGCAGCAGTCTCAACAAATAGATTGTCACAGCATTTTAGCTAATTCTATTTTAAATGCCAGCAGAAGATGGGATAATGTCTTCCTTGGTTTGGCTTAGTTTAACCTACCCACTTCTATTCACCAATGACTCAAACAATTCAGGATATTATAACCACACAAAAAAAAAATCCCTTAAAATAGTAGAAATATTTAGACCTGGATATACCCTGAAAATCAAAATACCACCAAGTACGAAGCCAGGATTTTCCCCAGCTACTCAAAATAATATTAAAAGCTCGACTAAAATATTCCAGAAAGAATGGGTTGAATAAAACATTTTAAGATGTGAAATATGCACGTTGCTGTCTCTGTGAAATTGAGATACGTTACTAACCCCAGAGAAACAAATGAGAAGAGATACCAAATACCTGATATAAATGTAAATTGACACAGCACCAAAAGTCACTGGATAGAAAGCTCATTACACCTTCTGACCCTGAGTCTCGCCTGGAAAGTGGCTACACTAGGGAAGATTTGGGAATGCACTTGATCTGTGTTCCCTTCAGTAATAGATAGAGCTATTGACAGTCCCTATATTATACTATTTGCCATTCATTTGTCCATAGAAATTCCAAGATTACCATGAAATTAATTGGTATCTATAATTTTTCTAGATTTTTTTTTTACTCAACCTCACTACCAGCTAATAAGACAATAATGCACTTGGTTGTTCAGAGGGAACTGAACTTTAGTGAAAAACAATTAAGGTATTTATACCTGCTCACTGCCAAACATGCATTTATGAACAGATCATTCTTTTCTAAGAATAATTCTAAGGATAATTCATCCCTGATGGATACAGATGGCTCACAGAAGTGCAAGGCTGATTCACTGACTGGAGGTAACACACTGAGCTACAGAATAAACTAATGCATGGCAACAAGCAAAGCTTTAGGGCAGCAGAAAAGCTGGGACACTGAAAAATAGTGTAGTTTGACCTGTGTTATCTTCCTAACTTTGAAATAAATTAAAAAATCTGTGGCAACAATGTTATTCCATATGTGTGCATAGACCTCCATAGGACCTCATAATCTGCTGTACAGTCCACACTTTCCTTTTTGGTTCTTGTTTTTTAAAAATGTTCAGAGCATAAACAACCTGATTCATCAGACTGGAGATAGAACATGACCTGTAGGTGTAGCAACCTTTTGGAATGCATAGGAACATATTGCAAAGAGCTGCTTTGGTAAAAATCTTCAGCTGACAGAGGTGAGGAGTGGTGACTAATGGTACAAAAGAAAGGATGTGAACACACTTGTGGGGGTTTTTTGACAAATGGAATATGCATATTTCTGTTGGAAATAGCAGGTTAGCTAACTAGGAAACCATGTCCTTACAATCAGGTACATTTAAAGCACAAATCTATGGATATTAAAGAACTATTTTGGAATCACAAAGCACCTGTCTGAAATTCCTGAGAAGAGTCTGAATGACTGAGGACCTGCTCATGTCATGCATTTATACATTCAGAGAAAGAAACCCAAATCTCGCCTTACCCGGCCAACTAGGATTGGTTCAGGTCCAGAAAATTCTTCCAACACAAACATTTGATTCCAAACCCAACCTCTCTTGGAACGGTGCAAAACTCTTTGTTCTTCATTTAGCCTTTTTAGTCCTGTACTGGATCCACTTGGTAGTACTTGAGATTGATTCATTGGAGCCATATAAATGGAAGGAAGGACAGTAATCCATAATATTATTAATGGAGTCCATGTATCCATAAGCATTTCCGTTAGTCTTTCTGGCATTGTACCACAAGCTACGCAAATCACCACAGAAATGAAATTATTATTTTGCTTTCCTCCAGACTGTAGCAATCCAATTCATCACGCAGTACAGAACATTTACTTACAGCTCCTCCATGTGTTTACAGCACAGTCAATGTAAAAATAGCTTAGATGATAAAAACATGATCCATTGAGTTTTCCAGTCATTAAAGATTCCTGGTGGGGGAAAGAAAAAAAAGAAAGTTCAAATCAGTGACTAAAGAGCTTAGAAAAGCATTCTGAAACATCTTACTTACTTTTACATAATAAATAAGCCATGTTAGGTTTCAAATTTGTAGTTCATAATATTGTTGCATAGTTAAATTGATTCTGTGTATTCTTTCATTGCCTGAAACACTGTGAGAAGACCCAGATGAATGATTACACACACTTAGGAAAATATTTAGGCTAAGAATTGGACAGGGCTTGCAGCAACCTGGTCTAGTGCAAGGTGTCCCTACCTGTGGCAGGGTGGTGGAAACGGAGGATCCTGAAGGTCCTTCCCAGCCCAGACAATTCTGGGATTTTGCAGTTCATCTTAGGGTCTGGAGAAGCTCCCAACCTTCTCACTACCCTGCACTGTTCATGTGGTCAATTACAAACACATATTCTGTCATATAAGCAAATCAAAATAGAGTTCTTGCATTCTTATGCTCCTTTCCTCCACAAGGAAAACAAAAACTTCTCCTGAGTGTACAAGGGTCCAGCAGCCCATTGTCTGTTTAGCCATCACCTCTCTGCAGCAGCACCAGTGCCCAGCAAACCCTTCACAGCCCAGCAGAGAAACAGCACTGCTAAATCCTCTGTGAAACCCATGATTCCCAAACCAGACCACTGCCAGGACCTAAGGAAACTCATTAATGCACATCTGCACTACAGGTCTCACTGTCTCTCCTTCACTTTCAGAGAAAACACACAGTCGTGTTTCATTTCAAAGACATTTTCCTAGATGGACACTTGGGAGCATTTTGTCTTTCTTTCCTTGCCTACCCTTTGATGTACTAAAAGGTCACACCACGTTTCATCTCAGAGTAAATATTCCTTGAAATGGAAAGGCAAGTTAACATAGCAGGGCTGATGCCAGAGGGATGGGCAAAGCCAGAAATGCAGCCATGGATCACATGGAAAACTAGATGGGATGTGGCTCAGAGAGAAGGGCTGCATTACAGAGTTATGGAGCTGTGTGAAAAGAACCTTGATACATTTTCTTTGATTCATATCCAAACAATCTCAGGAGAAACCACTGTATACAAGAGAGTAGGAATGCCTATTTTTAAGCATACACTGTGTTTTAGGCTGGTTTTCTTCTACTTCAAGATTAATTCCCAGTGTTGCATGTTTATGAAAATCCTGAGAGCTTAGTTGGGGGTTTTTTTGGGGGGGTAGAGTTGGTTTGTACACACTTGTGGCATAAACATGCAGAACACCTTTTACATGACTGGTAAAAGTCAGCTGTTCCTTTAAAAGCAAACAACGTATAAAGTATTTTTTTAAAACTTCAGTAATTGCCAAAGCAACTGTGAAATCTGTTGCATGAAAACCTGAAAGTGTGAGAAACTTGTCTTGTTAGAAGGGAAGAGGAGCTGTTAGCAAAGTGAAACTCAATCTCTCAAGCAGCATGGAAGAATGGTGAGCTAATAGTGCAGTGCTTTGACAATGCATCCAGAATGAGGGGAATATCCATTACAAGAAAACCTGCAGCTTTATAGGCCTCATTGCCAACTGGGGTGGAAATAAAGGAATCAGAGAATACAGCAACCTCTCCTGAGGAAGTTTTGGGGAAAATGTGAGAGAAGCAAGAGAGGCTTTAAATGTCTTGACATTCTCTCAATCCCAGAAAAGGAAGAGGAGCAAACAGTCTAATGATGGGATGCATCAGTCACCCTCTGGAAAGGCTCTTCAGTCCAGGGAATTAAATGGAGTTTACTGCTGCTGCTGCTTTCTGGCACATGTTAAACAGAGATTTCCAGGGGCATGTCTGGTGGTAGGAGGTATCAAAAGAGAGAAACAGCCAAACTTTCAGTTAAACTGATTGGTTTTGCTCAAATGGGATCTTCTTTATATCTGACTGGATGAGTGGGTGCCTGTGCCTGCCAGGACACGGATTTTTCTGATTTCTTCAATGGAGCAAGAATCAAAACACAGGAGAAATAAAACCACTGTAAAACAGAGCAAGAGCATCTCCAACCAACATCCAGGATTAAATTCAAAATGGGGGGCAGAAGCTGAAAACACAATTTAAGGGTCCTTGTTAGGGCTTGAACAGAGCTAAATGTAATGTACTCTTCTCTTTCTAGTGTGACTCTGTTTCTGCGTGAAAAATCACTTTGTATATAAACCCTGAAAACCCCTCAGAGAAAAGGACCCAAGTGGACATGAATGACTTCCTTACACATCCAGCACAAGCTGGTATAGTTCTTGTTATCAACAGGACCAAATAAGAATAAAGCACTTCTTTTCATATTCGAGAAGCTTTTTGAAAACAATTCCTAATTAATCTCCACAGCCTGCCTTCTAAAAAAAAAAAAAAGAAATAAATAAGATAAAACAATACAACGCTCCCAGAAACATTTCTGGTTGAAGAAAGAACAGGATATTTGGTTTTCACACTGCCACTCTCAATCCTTAGAAAGCATTAAGTTCATTTCAGTGCATCCCTCCTCAGTTCCTCCCCCAGACTTCCTGCTTGTTACTCTTCATTTACTCCAATCAAATGTAGGTCCTATCCACTCACGCTGATAGAGAAGATTCAGAGTGACTGGACTGTCCTCACGGTAGCTGTGTGTTCAGCAATACCTTAAGGCAAACAAGTCCAAACCACATCAGGAATATCAGCAATGCACACACCATGCCATGAAACCCCCCCGAGAGAAACAGCCCCGTGAGGAGCAGAGACACAGCTCGGAGCACACAGAGCTGGGAGGATCTGAGCACTGACAGCAAAACTGGGCAGCTCAGGGCAAAGGAAAAAAACTCAGTGGGACTATGGGATGTCCCAGTTCTGCAGGGAAATGTGATCAGTGTGGAACTATCGAGCTGGATAAAGTTTTCTGCAGCTCAACCTGGACTGCAGGAGCCTCGTGAGAGTTATTTGGGAAGCAGGTTCTGGCTCTATCAGTGAATCAGGGCATACACTTTATGCAATGCATGGATTGCCCCCAGATTTCTTTACCAGATTTGGCAATGACTTTTCTGTCCCATTCCCTCGAGCAGAACACCATGTGTGTAGCTGGGAGCTGATGGAAGGCATTTTAAATATGTAGCCCAGCAATTTACACATCGGCTAACAGGAAAACTGAGAAGTGTCTAGCAGTTAAATTGTAATCCTCTGGATTAGATGTGCAGAAGGGGAGGACAGGGCTACTGAGCCAGGCTATGGTAACGTATTAAAAGCCATATGTAAAGGCAGACTTGAAAATCGAGGAAGACCAGAAGGTGAGGCACAGTAGCACTTTCCCTTCTTATGTTATGCCATGGTCTAAAGCAGTGGTGAGCATGGAATGACAAGAAAATTATTCTGGTGAAGCCAGAACGACCTTTATCTAAGTAATAAAAGAGAAGCACATGGCCCTTCAAGAGTGGATTTCACAGAATCAGAGAATGGTTTGGGTTGGGAGGGACCCTAAAGCTCATCCATCCCACCCCAGCCATGGCAGGGACCCCTCCCACTGTCCCCATGTCCAGCCTGGCCTTGGGCACTGCCAGGGATCCAGGGGCAGCCACAGCTGCTCTGGGCACCCTGTGCCAGCCCTGCCCACCCTGCCAGGGAACAATTCCTGCCCAAGATCCCATCCAGCCCTGCCCTCTGCCACTGGCAGCCATTCCCTGTGTGCTGTCCCTCCAGCCTTTGCCAATTGTCTCTCTCCATCTTTCCTGCAGCTCCTCCAGGCCCTGCAAGGCCACCCTGAGCTCAGCCCAAAGCTTCTCCTCTGCAGGTGAACAATGCCAGCTGTGCCAGCCTTTCCTCCCAGCAGAGCTGCTCCATGCTCTGCTCATCCTGGAGCCTCCTCTGGGCTCTCTCAGCAGCTCCAGCTCCTCGCTGTGCTGGCCCAGGGCTGGAGGCAGTGCTCCACCTTCATCAAGATTTTGCTGGTGTTGATAAAAGTATAATTTTTGCTTTTAATCTCCAAATGTTCAAATGGCCTTGGGCTGTTGTCTTAAACAAAACTTCAGTGATCTTCTGAGTGGTTTCCCTGCACACTGTCTGATATACACAACTCCAGATCAACTCTAATCCAGCAAAGCTGTTTACAAAACTGCTTTAGTTCTCCATTCGTGCCTGAGAGGGGAAAATGATATTTAAAATATAAAGAATGTCTTTAATGTAGCAAATAGATGAAAGAAAATGCACCACTATGTCATGGAGCAGAGGTTCAAACAACTGCCTTATATTTTCAAAAAACTTAAGACTGTATTCATAAATTTTGTTCTGCATGCACAGCCTGTAGAGAAGTACAGATAAAGCTGGGTGGTTTGTTTGCCACTTTGTGTGCTGATAGAATTTTAGAAAAATATTATTCTGTTCACAGGAACTTACATCTTGGAATACTACTCATAAAACTCAGCCATGGGGTGTACTTGTACAAGTACAAGATTACAAAGAGGTGATTACAAAGAGCTTTGTAACCTAACAGGAGGACATAACCAGCACACAGCTTCAGAAAACAATGTCATACACACTGGGACCTCCTCTGGAACTCAGAGCTGTGCAGGTTACAGCTGGGAGTTCACCCTTTGCACAGAGTTAGAGCCAGGTATGGCAGTGGACACTTACAGAGATATAAAGCTCATTTTGTGTATGAGTGGAAGAAAGCACTTCTGATAGAGTTCTTTGCACTACAGTCATTTAAAAATCATCTTGTAGCTTTAAATGGTGACCACTGGAATGCAGTAATTTGTTAAAAAGATTAATAAAGTTAATAAAAGTAGTTGAAAATATAAACTTCCCATCCAAAAAGAAGCAACGTAAGATCATAAAAAGCTTTAACAAAAATCAATTTTTTTTCATTTTCAAAGCACAGAATATTCATCTGGTCAAATAAACCACTTTATTACAATGCCAGTGCATTGATTTACACCATGATCTCAGTTTAAAAGATTTTAGAGCCACTCTAGTGTTTCTCTACACAAGGGACATGGAGAGTTGTCTTAAGAACTGCAGCAAAGTTTTTTCATTA